TCACATAGTTGAAACAATTCAGCAACAAAACCTTTCAGAAATATACAATAATGTCAACTGTATACTAAAAAATGAATTGGAAAACATAGTAGAATAACAAACTGTACATACCAGCGTGCTTTACTTGGCGTCGCTCACTACACAACAAGTTTCTCTGATCAACAAACGGCTGACTGCACGAGACCAGGTCAAACAAAAGTCTAATCCCCATCTACCAAAGAGGGCGCTCTACCGCAAACCGAACATAAAGAAATTTGGTCTCAACAGTCGTGTTATTCAGTTTATTAGTGTGTGGATATCGAACGTTAACGAAACCAACTCTTTGTCGCGGTCAGCGTCACTGTCAATTATTAAACGTTCCTGGCGTGACCATGCTTTCTTGTGGGTTTTGGCTTCGGAAAACCGTCAGACATTCAAGCTATTAACGTGGTATTTTTTTTATTTTTTCCTGTGCCAAATAATTAAATTAATTTGCTTATGTATTGTTATCTTTTAATTATCTTACTTTCTTTTCTACATCAACAATAGAATTTCATGGATTTTTTAAAAATAGTATATCATCTGAAAATGTGACTTTTTGAAAAACGTACGTGGTGTCTTACGTACGTACGTTGAACGTAGTATTTTTTTTCAAATGTCGCTATTTCATAGAATAATCAAATTGATTTGTTTTGTTTATCGAAGGTCGTCTCGTTGCCAGGAAAAACGTGCGCCAGATGTCTTCTGAGGGTACGGCACCAGGAGTGGAGGTTATCTCCAACGCTAATTCATTTATGTTCGCTGGTATGGGCAGCGCCATGGTGATGTGGGTCATTGTAAGTGTATTGTTACTGTTGTACTCATTGTTACGTAATCAAATGATATGTTTCATTATTAGACAAACACGTCATGGCTGGAAAGACAAGCCTGCCAACATTAAGGTATTTTGCCTACGAAACGTCCGTTGTTTAGATGTTTTGCCTGCACTTTCAAATATTTTAGTTTAAAAAATGTTTTTATATACTACCGAAAAAAAACATTGATCGAAACCTACCTAGGACAACGATTGCCAAACATTGTAAATCGCTGTTCAGATATAGCGGTCATTGCAGATGTCAAGTTACCCGAGATTCAAGTTCCTGGAATCATAGAATCATTATTAGTGTGGCATATCGTCTTGGGACATTTTGATGTCATGTGAACGACTTGATACAATTAATTGATGGCTCAATCGTACAATAAATCCGTAGCGATTTTACGAATAAATTTGCATAGTTGTGTTTGTTATATTTTGAAACGAAACGAAACGGAATATGAATTTATTAATACATTTCAGTGTAGTGAAAGAAATCGTCATTGACGACATTTTGACAACGCCCTCCCTCTACGGTGAATTACGTTCAAAGGCGGATCTGGCCGAATTGAAGATTAATTATAATTGCTGTCATATTTTCATAGTCAGGAATCAAAAAAATGAATCACCGGGAACTCTTCAAGAGTCTAAAAAAAATTAAAAAAAATACATTTAATGTTGTGAGTTTCCAGTGTGATAATTCCATTACGTACATAAAATAATATGTACTCGTCCCTGATGAATGTATGCATGCACATATGTAC